CCCTGGGTAGAATAATATGGCATCACAGCTGACAGCAACCTCAAACTCCTGGGCTTAAGCAATTTTCTTGCCTCAGCCTCCCAAGTAGCTGGGACTACCAGGTCCCACCACAAGGCCTGGCTATTTTTTGGTTGCAGTTGTCGTTGTTTGGCAGGCCCAGGCTGGATTCGAACCCTCCAGCTCCAGTCACATGGTCACATTAGGAGTTAGGACTTAAACATAACATTTTTAAAGGATACAATTCAGTTCATAGTGCCTGATTGATAGGTTGTCTTTCTCTAAAAATAACTAGCATGTTCTTTTTTCTTTCTTCCTTCTTTAGACAGAGTCTGTGTCATCCTCAGTAGAGTGCTGAGGCGTCACAGCATCCTCCAACTCCTGGGCCTAAGCAATTCTCTTGCCTCAGCCTCCCAAGTAGCTGAGACTACAGGCGCTCACCACAATACCTGGATATTTTTTTGTTGTTGTAGTTGTCATTGTTGTCTGGCATGCCCGGGCAGGGTTTGAACCTGCTAGCCCCGGTGTATATGGCCAGCGCCGTAGTCACTGAGCTACAGGTGCCAAGCCCAAAATATTAAAAATTTTAACGAGACACTTAAATATATTCTAATGTATTAGTTACCTTTGTAAAAATTTTCTAATGTGTTGTAAATAAAAGTACATTCAGCTACAGTTTGCCATTTCCCCTATATATGGTGACTTTCAGGACATTGAAATTTTTTTTTAAATGGAATGACCATACAGCCCAGTGGAGTTCTTTTTTTGGTGGGGAGGAGGGGTATTGTATATGTATGCCTAGAAATACACCCAAATAAATCAGTTACTTAAGAAAATTTGTGCATCATGATTCATTAGCACCTTTTACAGCACCCAGAAGGTAGAAACAACCCATGTCCATGAGTGGAAAATGAATAATCAAAACCTGATCTGTTTCTTACAGTGGGATGTTATCCGTGCACAGAATGCAACAAAGTGCTGAAAGACCCTACAACAGGCAGGAAGGTTAAACCTTATGCTAAGTGGGCAGGAGAGTTAGTCACAAGAGATCACGTATTTTTGGATTTCTTTTACTTGAAATATCCCAGATTCAGAGACATAAAATGCAGATGAGTGGGTACTGGAAGTTGGGGGAAGGCGGATGTGGTAGTGACTGCTTGATGGTGTGGGGCATCTGTCTGGGGGTTACAAAAAATGGTCACAGTGTATCACGGACACAATACTACTGAATCGTACACTTTAAAGCAGCTAAAATGGCAAAACTTAACACGTTTTTACTAAAGTAAAAATAGACTTGAGCTACTCAGGAGACTGAAGTAGGAGGATTGCTTGAGTCTAGAATTCGAATCCAGCCTGGGCAACATAGCAAGACCCTGTCTCTAACAAAACTGTATTTGAAACTTTACCTACAAAGATGTCTGATCCAGGAAGTACAAATAACTCTATGCATCAAGCTTACATCTGTATTTTACAGGCAGTGCACAGGGGCAAGGGAAAATGGCAGAGTTAGAAGACACGGACACAGAAGATGATTTGGATGTGGAAATGTCAGGTGGGTTAATACTGTCTGATGCTCCTAAGTTTGGTGTTTGAGAGCTTGCAAGGCAAATCATCTTTGTGTCTTTTCCTTATTTGTACTTTACAAAGTATTTTTCAGATAAGTAGAATGACTATCTTGACTCTATTACGTATCACCACAGGTAAAAAGGAGGAATGCAGAAATATAACGGAGATACTTCCTTTGCTCCGGAAAAATAAATTTCAACTGGTAGGCAGTGACAATTTCCTTGCTAGTGTCATTCAGAGGAGCCAGAAGTTCATACCTTTCCTGCAGCCAAGAATTGCCCCACAGCCCATTGCGCATACGGTGGTGCTATACGGCCCTGCAGGTGTTGGGAAAAGCACCCTGGCAAAGCAGGTGTTCCTGGACTGGGCGGAGAACAACCTCAATCAGATGTTCAACTATGTCTTCTACTTGAGGTGCAAGGAGCTCAACCATGTGGGCGCTTGCAGCTTTGCAGAACTGATCTTCAAGGACTGGCCAGAGTGGCTGGGTTGTGCGGCAGAAGTCTTTGGCCAGGCACAGAAGATCTTGTTCATCATCGATGGTTTCGAAGAGCTGAGAGTCCCTGCGGGGGCCCTGATCCATGATATCTGTGGCAACTGGGAGAGGGAGATGCC